TGAAAAAGCAAAGGGTAAATGTGTAAACAGCTGGTGAATATGAGTAATGGGTATAGGAGACCCGTGTGCAAGTTCTGAAATTATATCAACATAAGAGTTACCAAAAAAAGCCTCCCTTGATCCCCAACTTCAAACAGTGCCCATCTAGACAATCCAAGTCTAAGTTACTGCCATAATGATTTCTATCATTTCATTTAAAATAATAAAATAATTAAACAATCTGTTACAGAGTCAGTTATTCCAGAGGCATACCTAGAGTAGATTAAAAAACAAAAACAAAAACAAAAACAAAAGAAACCCCCATATGATGAAATTATTTTTAGTAACATGAAATGAAACAAATAATAATGGCCATAAAAGAAACACACTGATATTTCTTTTATTAAACTTTACACATATAATCCTGCCAGTTAAAAAAGATAAATTATGTGATAAATATAGTACAAAAGGAAGTTATGGATTTATATCTTTAATTACATTAAACATTTTTAAAAAAGGGGAGCTTATATCATATATTGGGTCTGTCAAAGTATTGAAGAATAACATTAGCTTTGTTTTTCTAGCCTTTAACTTCTGCACATTTATCAATAACTTCAGCAAAATTGACCTTCACATATTTGTTTTCAATAGTCAGTGCTGCTAGATTTGTCAATTCATATTTGCTCACAGTTGCTAGACAACGCTACAGTAATTTTAATTTTAAAGTTTGTTACATGAGAATATCACCACTATTTAAAACAGATTGTAAATATCTTTTTTACAAGTTTTAAAAATACCACACATGAATTAAATGGGTATTGTCTAAATTACCTAGCATGTTCTTGTGTGAGAAAATGCTAATTGCTTCCAAATCCATTTCTCCCTTCTTCAATATTAATAGAATTTCAGTTTTGCTCGGCTTATGTTCAGCTGTAATAAAAACTAATTTCTCAGCTTCCCTTGAATGTAGATCTGGCCATGTGATTAAGCCCTGGTCAATGAAATGTAAGCAGAAGTGATATATGCATTTTTAGAGAAGTATTTTTAAGGAAAGAGGCCATGACCTTCTTCCCTGTTCCTCCTTTTTACTAACTAGAATTGGGATGTAATGGCTGGAACTTGAGCAGCCATATGGAACTCTACGATAAACTTTGGAATGGAGACCACACCCAGGAGTAGCTGACACTTCCAGGAGTCATCTTAGCCCTGAATTTCCTACTTTCACCTACAGACAAACTGTATTTTAACTAATATACAACCTCACCAAATTGTTTGGATTTATAGAACACAAACAAGAGTCATTTAATTAAGCAGGATTTCTTATAGTATGAAAGCTCACAACAGTGACACTTGTACATAGACTTGCTAAGGTTTCACTCTGTTTATGCTCATTCATAATATACAATACAAAGATTCCATGTAAGGGAAAGATTAGAGTATGACTACAATTTTACAAAAACTAAAAATCAATGTATAGTAAAAAGATTAGAACAGTGTTTGTCTTGGTTGTTCAGGGGAGTCTTCTGGAGGTGAGATTTGTCTGGCTAGGACCCAATTATGCAAAGTAAATAAATTAATGAATGAGGAATGTATAGATAAGTCCAAAGATTTAAGTTTTAAAAAGGTTTTAAGTTTAGCGGAATTTGATTATGTGTATTCATAAAAAATAGAGAACATAAACACAAAACTTAAATGTTTCACAATTAACTTTAAAATCAGAGGAATGGTTATTGAGTTCTGCAGGTTGAGTTGGTGGCACCTGACAAAGAGATGGAGGACAGAAAGGAAGGGCCCAGTGTGGCTGTTCTCAAAGGACCAGACTAGCACTGAACCTTGAGCAGCAGCAGGGTGGTGGGGATGGAGGTGAGAGTCAGTCCATTCTCCAAAAGAAAGGCTCTGAGGAGGAAGAAAGAAGACCTAGGATCTTCTCCAGGAGGACTGACCAATTCTTGACATTCTAAAATGATGGCTCAGAATGCCCTAGCAAACTGATTCCGGATCATCCTGCATAATATCCTCTAATTTAGGAACAACGACAAAAAAAGGTGTTTAGTGAGTGGTGTTGGATGATAAGTAAGAAGATCCTCTAATTCTAAATATCATGCAATTTTTCTTTAAAACCTGTACACATATTTGAGAAATTTTTAAAATTCAACTTCTAGTAACACAACAGTAAATTCTAGAGAAGTTCTACAAGATCCAGATTCAAGTTCAGCAGCAACTGGGGGAGAAGATGAAAAAACAAGAGAAAAGCAGTTATAGTCTCAGACTTAGATACTTTTATATGTCACTGAAAGTCAGTAAAAACTCATCTGTGAACTTCAACAGTTCTAATAAAAGCTAAATACATGTACAGATACAATACAAAATATACAACTATTAAATATACTCAGACCATATTTACATGTTGAATTATCTAGTATAGGGACCCAGGTATCAGGGCTGCTATTTTTATCATTTCCTACTTTCTTCATTCTTTTATTTCAACAAATATTTACTGAGGGCATGTTGTGCCCCAATCACAAACATTGGAATTATAAAAATAAACCAGAGTCCTCTCAACAATCTTATCCTTTCACTTGGTAAACAATAAACAGCAACTTCCATACAGTATGACCTGTCATGATAGATCTAAAGACAGTACACACCAGAGCACAGAGGACAGGCACTTCTCCCTGTCTTTCGGAGTTGTTATACGCCACCATTCTGATAGTATGTGAGGTTGATACCTGAAGGAAAGTTATACAAAATAAAGGGGAAAAGCATGTGCATAGAGCTTGAGAACATTTTTGGAACTAGAACTAATTGTCTAGTTTGATTGGAGATTTTTAAATATCGGTCATCAGTCATAGTATTCCTTGACAGCTATTCAGACTTTAAAGTAATTGCTTGACTAAATGCCACTAGATGACAGTGTCTTTCTGGTTTTATAAAATAAAAATGCTAAGTTGATGATGCCTTATATTTTCAGAGAATAGTTTCAGAGTGCAGGTTAACAGTTTCATAGAGAAGACAGAAAAAAAGTATGGCCAGAAATAGAAAGACACACATAGCGCTGTATTTTTCAGAGTTTAAATGCTCTGAAAGATCATGAACATGTTTAACAATGTATTAATGTATTTCAATAGGACAAAATACTTAAAACTTTGTGTCTGTTATTCAAACAATAGAAGGAAAGCCATGCCATTCACTGTTCACGGTTTATCTCAGAAAGCAAACACATGTAAATATTTCCCATATTTTTATCTATATACCTTTTTCAACTCCTTCTGAAATAACAGCCAAATATCATTTAATAGTATTTGAGACAATAAAGTAGGAATAATAAATTTTAAAACGATTGAAAGGCTTAGGATCTAGAAGTTTCCAACTCAGACCCATATTTGGCAATGATAATAAAAAGACTGGTCATAAGAACTTTTCTTAAAAAACAAATCAAAACCAAAAGTGAAACATGCAGATGGGGTCAGGGAGAGCAGTTTCTTTATTCATGTTTAGGATTAAAAGTGAAAAATCCTGACGATGGAGTTTATTGGGGGCTGATGTATTAGAAGGCATAGATTAGAGAAGTATTCATTTAAGCCTTCAAAAATGTTAAGACTTATTTTATCCAATTTTAACTGAATTCACAGCCTTTTGAACATATTTTGACTTTAATTCAATTATACTGTTGACTGGTCTTTGAGAAGGGGTATTACAGTACAAAGAGCATGGACTGATGAACCAGACTGACCTAGATGAGAAACCCTGTCATGCCACTTGTCAGCTATGGGATACTGCCCAAATCATTGAATCTCCCTGGGTCAGTTTTCTTATGTATAAAATGGGAACACTTATTTCTAACACTTACTGCCAACTGAATTAATATTAAGCAAACAGGTCAGTGATATGTGTTTTGTTTTCAGGAGCAAATTATTTTTAACTTTTTGGAAGGTGCCAAAACTTGGGAATAAATGATTTTTAAAGAGGTCCAATAAAAAAGAATCAGAAAATAGTTAATCCTCTTTTTCAAGGGGGTGCTTAAATAATAAAAATTTCTCACAGTTCCAGAAGCTAGAAGTCCAACATCAAGGTGTGCGCAGGTCTGGCTTCTTCTGAGGCCTCTCTCCTTGGGCTTGTAGATGGTGGTCTTCCGCCTGTGCCAAATCTCCTCTTTTTATAAGGACACCAGTCATATTGGATTAACACCCATTCTAATTACCTCATTTTAACTTGATTACCTCTTGAAAGATCTTATCTTCACATACTGTCACATTCCGAGGTACAGAGGATTAGACTTCGACACATGAATTTTGCAGGGATGAATTAGCCTGTAACATCCCTCTACCCTGCCACCCCTGTTTTAGCAATGGCCTTTTACCCTTTTAAGATGCTTCTAGTTGCAGGGAAGGTAAAATACTTAACTGTTATTTTTAAAATCTGTTAAATAAGCACACGGTGAGTACTGCCACTATAATTTCTGGACCCAGGGTAGGAATGTAGGTGGTCAGAGCCCAGTAAAAAGGGACTTGGAAGGGCAGAGGCGGGAGAAGAACTTCGCGGTTAGCTGGGAAAGAAGAGCGGATAAGCGGGTAAACGGGTGGCCGCCCAAACTCCGTCTGTCAAACGCAGCTTGGGATCAGTTTTACTTATACATTTTGCTGATGACTTAGAGATGTTCATTTTCCTGTTTACTAGAGCCAGTCCTGGTATAGGACTTCAGTTTACGCAGAGCTTTAACAGGCTTTGACTGTCTTAATCCTCCTGCCCCCGGGCCAGGCTGGTGGAGATTTGTGAACGGTCAATTGTTAAGTCTACTCACATTCCAAAGAAAATGGGCACCCCACCCCCCACCCCAACCGCCGCGGGAGTGAGCCACCGTCCGGGTACAGTTACTCAGAGGACCTCGTGGTTTCCGCGCCGTCAGCTGCAACT